TCAGCAAATATAAGAGAATTTTATAATGAACACCCATCCACCCACCACTTAGTCTCTACCATTAATATTTTGCTATACTTCATCCTATCTATCCAAAATGAACTTTTAAACCATTCTTTCTCCTAGCCAGATGAGCTGGCTCACAAGAGGGAAAAAAAAAGTGTGCTGTATTACGGAAACTTAGCCAGCTGGCCACAATCTTAAGAGTTTAAGTTTATGGGAGCAGGAACTTTAATACCTTAATTCTTGGTGGCACTTAATTCAGGTGTTAAGCTAGCATCTTATCTGTTAGATAAGTCCCTCCTTAGTGCAAGAAATGCTTTTTATCTAATAGGGAGGGGGAAATGATTCCCTTATACATGATAAAAACATAGAGCTTGGCACAGAATTGGCATCAAGTACTGTTTGTTGAATGAAAAAATGAGGACACATTAAACAAGATATGATTCTAGCCATTTAGGCACTCCACAGATTGTAGGAAACACATAAAGCCAGTCCCACAATAACCCATCAACCAATGAATGGATTAATCACCTCCCAAAAGTCCCATCTCTCAAATACCATTAATAAATGCCTTTGGGAATTAAGTTTCCAAAACATGAAATTTGGGAGATAAATTCAAATCATTGCAGAGCTCTTTCAGGCTGGCTTCTGACTCAAATCTACCTGCTACATTCCTGGGGAAATTGGGTAAGGGGAAAAGGGTAGGTCTGCCCAGAGAAGAGGCAGAGAGCTTTCTTACTCAGACTTGTCTTTCTGCTTTGGGTGGGAGTGGAATATGTTGTTATAAGATTGGTATTTCAGGAGCTAATTAGTTTTATAGACTTGAATGAACTCAGGATCATTTCGTCAGGAGCAGATGCTAATGTCAGGTTAAGGATTCTATGAGAGTAGGAGGTGAAGAGGATGGGAGAGAGAATACAGTGTGCTGAGTGCCTGCTCTCTGCAAGGCACTTGACCATCATATGACTTCTTTATAAAGTGGACATGGAAATAGTCCCAGAGACGTTAAGTAATACACCTGTGATCAGATACCTTCAGGTCAGGATTCAAAGGTAGGTCTTTTTGGTCACAAAATTCATATTCTTTCAGTGTCCCAGGAAGTACATCTTGGTAACAGGAGCTATTGTTATTTGAGCAATAGTCCCTAGTTTTCCTAATGCCCAGCCCCCTGGCTCCTCACCCACCATCCAGGGATTGAATGAATGCAGGGTTAATTAAAGTGGCAGTAGGGCCAGAGCTCCTCATTAGGTGAGAAAACTGTGGCATGCTGACCCATGGCTGTATATAGTCTTGGGTACCTGGGAAAAGGCCAGAAGTGCCTACCTGTTGAATTAATTTTAGATTAGAGAAGAAGAAAGAGTGCTGGATCTGGAATAAGGAGACCCTTGTTTTAGCTTAGACCTGCCACCCAGGTAGCCTCAAGTCAAGTGCTTTCTCTGGACCTCAGTTTGCTTGGTTATAAAACGGGATGGGTGGATTAGCTCAACCATTTCACACCATGTGCCTTGAATACCTTTGGAGTTCTGTGGAGAAGGTTCAGGATTGCTTAAAGATGGGAGAACTTTTCTTTGTGCATTGCATGAAGACATTCACCACTATTGAGAGTTTACTTAGTGCCAAGCACCATTAAACACTACTTCCATTTTCTCATATAGCCCTCTCTGCAAGCCACATAATCTTTTTGTTCCCACTCAACAAGATTAAGTAAGTTGTTCAGGGTCACACAAATGGTAAGAGAGCAAGCAAGGATTCAGATAGCCTGAAGTCTGCTTTGATACTTAACCTCTAGGCCACACATGCCTGTTCCAAAGAAAGCATGATGACAGCACAGGATTTTGTTAGGTGGCTTTTTTAAAAAAATAGTTTTATTGAGCTATAAATTACATATTATAAATTTCACCAATTTTTAAAAATATTTTTTAGTTGAAGTTAGACACAATACCTTTATTTATTTATTTATTTTTATGTGGTGCTAGGGATCAAATCCAGTGCCTCATGCATGCTAGGCAAGCACTTTACCACTGAGCCACAACCCCAACCCTAAAATTCACCAATTTTTAACTGTACAATTGGATGAGTTTTGACAATTTGAAAGTTTCCTCATTCTCCTTTGCTGTCAGGGTCCTCTTCCCATCTCTGACCCTTGACAAACTTTAGTCTGCTTTCTGTCACTAAACTATTACTTTTTTAGAATTTCATATAAATTATATGATATATGGTGGTGTGTGTCTAGCTTCCTTTACTTAGCTTAATGCTTTTGAGATCCATTAGTATTGTTGTGTGTATCAGTAATTCATTTCTCTTTTTAAAATATTTATTTGTTGTAGTTGGAACAATTCCCTTATTTCACTTATTTATTTTTATATGGTGGTGAGGATAGAACCCAGGGTCTCGCATGTGCAAGGCGAGCGCTCTACCGCTGAGCCACAACCCCAGCCCCTCAGTAATTCATTTCTTCTTTTCTTTTCTTTTCTTTTTTAAAAAATATTTATTTATTTATTTATTTTTTGGGTGGACACAACATCTTTGTTTGTATGTGGTGCTGAGGATCGAACCAGGCCGCACGCATGCCAGGCGAGCGTGCTACCGCTTGAGCCACATCCCCAGCCCCATCATTTCTTCTTTTAAATTTTTTAAAAATTTCAGTTGTAGATGAGACTTTTATTATAATTTATTTATTTATATGCAGTGCTGAGAATTGAACCCAGTGCCTCACATGTGCTAGGCAAGTGATCTACCACTGAACTGCAACCCCAGCCCCTAATTCGTTTCTTTTTATTGTTAAATTATATTCCTTTATATGGCTATATTATATTTGTTTATTCCACATACTGATGGACATTTGGGATTTCCAGATTTTTAGCATTATGAATAAAGTTTCTTTTAATACTGAAGTACAAACCTTCTCCTTCTCCTCTCCTTCTTTTTTTTTTTTTTTTTTTTTTTTTTTTTTGGTGCTGGGCATTGAACCCAGGGCCTTGTGCATGCATGCTAGGCAAGCACAGTAGCAACTGAGCTATATCCCCAGCCCCTGAAGTACAAATCTTTATGTGGATATATGTTTTTATTTCTCTTGGGTAAATACCTAGAAGTGGACCTGCTGGGTCAAATGATGCATTAGTGTTCTATTGCTTTGTAACAAAATACCAAAAACTTAATGGTCTAAACATTCATTTATAATTTCACAATTCAGTAGGTTATATGTTTGGGTAGGCTTAGCCAGATTCTCCACTTAGGGTTCCACAAGGCTGAAATCAAAGTATTAACTAGGCGGGGTGCTTCCCTGGGACAAATGGATTCTTCCTAAGGGACTTCTTTCAGCTCTTTAAGGTTACTCAAATTCTTTCTCACAGGTTCTCTCCAGCTTCAAACCAGCAGTAGCACATTGAGTCTTTCTCACACTTTAACTTGCTGATTCTTCTTCTGTCATCAGATAGACAACTCTACTTCTAAAGGGTTCATGTAATTAGTTTGGGCCCATCTGAACAATCTCCCTTTTTCCATATAATAAAATCACAGGAGATCATCTGAGTAAAAGTCATGGGCCATCTTAAAATTCTGCCTACCACATAAGGTACTTATGTTTAACTTTATAGGAAACCGTCAAGTTGTTTTCCAAAGTGGCTATACCATTTTACCTTTCCAATAAGAGTTCCAATTTCTCCACACTCTCACCAACATTTGGTATTGTCAGACTTTTCAAGTTTAGTCATTGGTGAGTATGTACTTGTATCTCTTGATAGTGTTGTTTTGCATTTTTCTGATGATCATGAGATTTTTTTTCATGTGATCATTAGCATAAAATTTTGTTTGATGAAAGGTTTCTGTTTTTGAAAAATTGGTTGAAACCCACTCGCCTAGATAAACTGGAGTCTTCCAATGTCTGTAATATGTGAATCTCTCAGTAGGGCCCAAGGTCCATCTTCTTTTCTGAAACAAAATTCTGTCTTGAAAAAGGCATTGTGCTCTGTTTATGGGTGATAGATGAAGACAAGAATTCTTAATTATCTACATGGCCATATCCCAAATCTTAAATTCTGAAATCCAAATAACTCTTGATTACCAAATGTTTTTTTTTTTCTTAGTTAACACCAAAACCTATTGGTAGCAAAATGTGACCCTAATTCCTTTCTTGTTTTTGCTTTTTGTCTTGTTTTGCAGAAGGACCCTCTATTGTCACAGGGCTGTGTTGGCTGCCTGGAGGCCTTGCTTGACTACGTGTATGCCCGGAGCCCAGACCTTGGTAGAAATCTTCCTCGTTCTATGTTGTTCCCCTGGGGGAGATTAGAGGAGGTCAGCCCTTGCTACCTTTCTTTCAAAGGCTTCCATCCCCTGTTGTGTAATTCATACTCATCTTGTTTAATTTTAATAATACCGTAAAGGTACTATCATACCCTTTATAAACATGAGAACACTGAGGTTCAGAGAGGTCAGGTGACCTACCCAGCCATGGTCTCAAAATGCTCTTAAATGGCAGAGCCCTTCCTGTTGCCTGCCTCCCACAATCATGGGATATACTGTTTCACTGAGCCAGTCAGAACAGATGGATAGATAGCTCAGGAAAGAAAGAAACCTGTTGGAGCAGGCTGTCCAATGGCCTGCCTGAAGCTGGGTCACTAGGAGAAGCTTATCACTAGGACAAGTGTCAGCCTAGTCCTCAGGGCTTTGGAAAAGCAGCATTAACCACTTGGGGGACTGGTTTTGCCTGCAGCGCTCCATGTGGCCTCCCAGCCCTGGAATAGGTTTTTGCTGTTTACTCTCTTGGATGCTGGAGAAAATTCCTTCCTTAGATCCGAGATATTGAGGCTTATGACACTGGTAAGTACAGAAACAATGGCCCCATGGTCTGAAAAATGTCATGAGCTGGGTGGTGCTGAAGAGACTTGGGACATTTGTTTTAGGTAACCCTTATCCTCAAATAAGGCAGAGGGGCTTAGTGGACCTTCGACTCCAAGAGGCCTCCTCACAGAATTCCTTTGAATATCCAATATCCTCACCCCAAAGACCCTGACCCTTTTCTCTTATTTCTGTCACCACATGCCAAGTCTGCCGAGGATGTCAGTGAGCCAAAATCTAAGCTTCTAAGGGTTCCTCCATCTAGAGAAGGAGATAGACAAATGAAGAGTCGAATATGTTTTGCATGGTAGAGTGGAAGAGATGCTAAGTGCTTGGCATATAGTAAATGTCCATTGAATAAATAACAAAGCAGTGAGTCTATGAATGGTAGTGAAGTGGATCTACAAAGAAATCATTGGTTGGTATGGGAACACAAAGAAGAGAGTAACTGCTTTTATAGGGTGAAGGTAACATTTTATCTGAGGCTTGAAGGATTAATAGGCAGAGAGGAGGAAGGTATTGAAGGTATTCCAGGTGAAATGAGAACACCAGATACAAAAGCAGGCAGTGGTAGGTTACGGAAAATGCACAGTTCATCTTGGCCATTAGTATACGGTGCAAAGCTGGGGGAGGAAGGAGGCAGGCAAGGCCAGAGGGTCAGTTAGGGAAAGTTGCCTCAGGACTTCAGTTGCTTCATTTACCTCACTCCTACCCACCAAAGCAGCACTCTTGAAGGCAGGGTTCTATGGACTTCAAAACAGGATCCCCAGCTCATTGCCCAGTACAGCAGGGCACCGGAAATGGCATTTCCTCCAAATCACTGGGTATTTGGGGCTTCTCTTCCTGGGCCAGTTTGTGCGGTACAACAGCAGCAGTGTCCTCTCTCATGAAGAGGTGGGTCATGTTCTGCAAGTTGCAGCTTTGGCAGACCTATCTACCCTCTCAAATACCACACGCAGAGCTCTTCGTGACTTCTACCTTCAGGTGGGTGAAACTTGGATGCCATGCAACCCCTGTGGGGCTCAACCCTCAATCCCATCTTTTTGGAGGTTGGATCTGGCTACAGCAGCCCTTAGGAGGTCAGAAGTACAGGGGGTAGGGGATGTTTAGAGAAGTCCTACCTTCACTACCCTCTTCTCCCCTAGGTCCAGAGTATGGGCCTCCTGATTGATCACAGTACTACCCAGACCCTACAGGCCTCCTTGGAGGGCCTGTCCCTCAGTGCCTTCTCAGACCACCCACCCCCGCAGGACATCCTGTATCCTTTCTTGCATCTTGGAGCTTTGGCCTGGGCAAGGTTACCCAAACTATGAAGGCTGTGGCATCATGCTTCCCTCTTCAGTCCAAGTGGAAGAGCTGGTGATTGGCAAATCCCTTAGAAAGCTAGGGTTGTAACAGTGGTCAGAGGCTCCTTGGGGAATTGTTGAAGTGCTCCAAAGACATTGTGGTGTAGGAGGTGCTTCCCACCCCAACCCCTGGCAGACTCCTTGGCTCTTTTCCCCTCCCACAGAACAGTTATAGTAACTACTTAGCCCACATATGCGGGTCCCTGTTCTAGAATTCATGCCACTATTTTTAGGAGCATCTCTGCTGTGATCATTCTAGCCCTTTTGGGGGCCCTGGAATTGTGATTCCCCACAGTTGGCTCCACCTTTCTGCTGTTCTCCTCTCATGTTTCATTACCAGCTGCTTGGGAGGGGTGGCTGTATCCATGTCCCACATCAGAGACTGAGCCTCAGGACTTGATGACCCAGAAACTGAGAGAAGTGAGACCTGGAGACAAAGAGCATAATTGGGGTGTGGGGAAAAGATAATTGCTGTCATTTATCTGAAGCCATTTACTTCACTGTGGAAATGGAATCAAGAAATAAAATTATACACCCATACCTGCATGGACTCTCCAAAAACATTTAACTGTGAACTTGTCTCCCTGGAGCTGGTTTCTCAGCTAGTTGGATAGTGGATTATTTCAGCAAAGGATTGATGGTTTCCTCAGGGAGAGAGAGAGGCAGATTTATTAGGGCAATAACACCTCAAGGAGCATCTGCTGGGTGCCTCAGTTGTACCCATAGAACATCAATTAGGCCACAGCTATCTTCTGGGCTGTCCAAAGGTCTCTGCAGTTGGGGCTGCTGCAATCCAAGTATTCTGAGAGGCGCTTCACCTTATATGGAGATGGAGAGGGATATTAATTCCCAGGCAGGGAAGGTCAAATCCTCAGCCTTCTTAGCTGAGCTAAAGTGCTCCAGCCTTAGCCCTTCCCTGGCTAAAGTAGGACCCCTCAAATCTTTTCCCTCAAAGCTTGTTTTATATACTCATGCGAGCAGTTCTTATTTACTGTGTGCACTTGGCGCTTGGCACGTAGTCTGCACTCCCTAACTCTGCCTACTTCTGTTTTGAACTCAGCCCAGCCTGGGTCTCCGGTTCCCTTCCCCCAGGCGAGAGCCCCAGCGCAGGGATCACACGCAAAACGGGCTTAACTCCGTCCTAAATGGACCGACGCAGAACGTGGTTTAGAGATTGGTGGACTAGAGAGGTGAGCAGGTTTTGCTAGATGCTTGAAAAAGAAGAAAAAAAAGTGCTAATTACAAACCATTAAATTGATCTTGCGACTGGCAGTTTAAAAATAAGGTTACAGGGTCTGGTATTGTGGCTCAGCGGTAGAGCGCTCACCTAGCATGTGCGAGGCGCTGGGTTCGATCCTCAGCACCACATAAAAGTAAGTAAAATAAAGGTATTATGTCCATCTACACCTAAAATATATTTTAAAAAAATAAGGTCACAGATGAGAAACCGTTTCGGGAAACGCGCATAAGTCTCCCGGCTCTCAGGTGTTAGGCACCAGTTTGCTGACACGCGCTTTAAGTTGGTCACGGACCCACCTGCAGCTTAACTTCCTCCAACTAACAGCCTTAATCGAGAGCGCCCAGGGTACCCGTTGGAGATGCAGTGAAGCAGGGGCGGGACGCGGGTAGAGCAGGACCCCCTCCAGCTGACACGTCCCGGCACCTTCGCCCCGGTAAGGCGGGGGCGGGGCCGGGGCCGGAAGTGAGGTCACGGGAGCGCGGCAGTCGCGGCCCGCACTCATTGGCCGGGAGCAGCGCGGCGGGCGGGACTGTGTTCCATGGTACCTACACGCCGCTTGCCGGGTTCTCCGGAGTTGGGTGTCTGTGCTGTGTAGCCTAGTGGACCCTCGAGCCGAGCTTCACGTCCAGGGGCTGTGGGTCCACAGAGTTCCGCAGCGCCACTTCTGCCTGGTAGGTGGGGCGGGGGCGCCGGGCGGCAGGTTCTTGGGGAGGGCCCTGCTGGTCCCCAGAGCCCCGAATTGGCTGCAAGGGTGGAGTGGGAATCTCGAGACCTGGCGGCTCTCCTTGGGAAGACTCGCTTTCTTCTTTGGGAGCCCACAAGGCTCGGGACAGCAGACTGGGCCTGCCACCCCGGGGAAGCCGGCTCAGCGTCCGCCACCACTGGGTCACCTCTCGGATGGGTCTGGAGTCTCACTCCAATCCGTGAGGAGTTCCTGGGACGCGCAGGAAGGCAACAGGACTGAGTGGCGGAAAATCTGGGAATAACAGTAGAGAAAGCAGGTTCTGCCCTCCGCAGTCTGCGTTTTCTGCTTTCCTTTTTCTCTTCTCCCCTGCTTCAGGCATTGTCGCTTCTCTGATACCCTCCTTGTTCCCCCAAGTTTTGCTGTAGCCTGGTTCTGGTTCCCTTGGGTCTGGTGCTGGTGGACAGTGGACGGCCCAAATGAACTTGGTTTCTTTCTCTAGGCTTCAGTTATCTCTTCTGCGTGGGGGAGGGGGTTCTCCTGATGACCTCTGAAGGCCTCTTAGTGTCTCTGAGCATCTCCCCTGGGGCAGGTTTCCCGGTGATTATTGGCCATTTGTGATCTGAGGTAGCTTATATACTCTTTAGAAAGAAGAGACAGAACACTGGACTGAAAGTAAAAAATATTTTTGGTTCAGCCTGGAAAGAGCTGTGTGACTTTGAGCAGATACTTCACTTTTCTGTGCCTTGGTTTCCTTATTGATGAAACTGGGTAACTGTCATCTGAGTGCCAGGCTTCCACTGACCACTTATTTAATGTCTCACCTGACCTACTTCCTGTCATCCTTCTGTGCTTATTTTATGTGTTTGTTGATTTTTTGTTGCTTCAACTAGGACATAAGTACTATGAGTGCAAGTTTGTTTTTTGTTTTTTGTTTTTTTTACTTATTATATTCCCAGCGCTAGAACCATGCCTAGATTGGTAGGTACTCAATCAGGGTGGTGCTGAATAGTAACAGGTGTTGCACATAATGACTTTTGGTCATTACACTCCTCTTTCTTCTTCGGGAGCCCACAAGGCTCTTAACACAGGCTTGCTTCCCTTCCCACCCTGTGCCCCTTCTTTTTCTTTTTTTCTGTGGTACTGGGGGTTGAACCCAAGATAGGCAAGCACTCTACCCCTGAGCTAGATCTTCAGCCCTTTTAGTTTTACTTTGAGATGGTCTCTCTGGGTTGCCCAGACTATGCTCAAAGTTGCAATCCTCCTACCTCAGCACCCTCCACCCCCCACCCCTGAGGAGCTGGGATTCCAGCTGTGTGCAACTGTGTCTGGTTTCTCTTCTTTCTTCCTTTCTCAGACAAAAGTTGTAAGTTTCATAACCCCTCTCATTGCCTGGGCTTCAGGGCTTCCTAAAGCTGATTCTTGGTATTTAGAGGCTGTGCCACATCAGGGGAAGTTGCTATTCACTGTACTCTGTATTTTATTTAATGCCAACCTCTGGGTCTCACTCCCTCTCTTTGGGTTACTCCTCTAGCTCCAGGGTCTTGGAGATGGACTTTCTTCAGTTCTTGGCCTTCTTCTTTGTCCTGCTGCTGTCTGGAGTGGGGGCCACAGGTACCCTGAGGACCTCAATGGACCCAAGCCTGAAGATTTGTATCTTTTGTTGGAGTTCAGGGTAGGGTTAATGACCTGTCTCGAGTGGTCAATATATGAAGCTTCTCTATACCCACAGTCCCTTGGGGGATTCCTGAGATGAGCAGACCCAGCTGGTGGGAACTGGGAAGAAAAGGTAAGGTGCTCTAGCCAGACCTTGAGCAAGTTGATTCTCTTCTGAGCCCATTTCTCCTTATGTTAAATGAAGAAGGCAGGTACATCTCACAGCCGCAAAGGCTTTGACTGCTTCTGTATCTAGTACCTTGTGGGCAAGACCCTAGGTGGTAATTCAGGAACTCTGGATTACTAGCTCATCTTGACTCTAGTGTACTGAACCACCTTCTCTGGGCCAGGCCTTGGGAACACAAAGATAAGTCAGGACCAGTCCCTGGTTTTGAGCATCCACAGGCATAGGGGGAGTATCTAAATAGATGGTTATTGTATGCTGTGATCAGTGCTCTGGTAGATGCAAGAGGGATTGGGAAACATTGTGCTGTGGATTCTAAGCTGGATCTTGAAAAAATAGAAACTTCTAGAGAAGGGGATGGGGGAATCCTAGGCAGAAGTTACAGCATGAGCAGAATAATGGAGGTTCAGGAATAATGAATGATTATGAGAGTTGGCAAGAAAACCACAGGGAAGGGAGGACAGGATCCAGGTTCTGGAGGGTTGGATTCAGGCTGTTGAATGTGGAGTCCTCAGAGAACTGGATCAAGGATACATCATGGGGTATGTGTGCTTCTCAGACGGTTTGCTCCTTCCCTTGGGGAGTCCCAGCCATAGGCATTCATGCCCCTTACATATACTTGCTGGTCAGGAATGGGCCCTCTGGTTCAGGATAGCTGTTTAGGCAGGGCTGTTGGTATTAGTCCTTTAACTTAGTGCTGTCCAGACAAGAAGATGTTTGAGGTGAAACGGCGGGAGCAGCTGTTAGCACTGAAGAACTTGGCACAGTTGAATGATGTCTACCAGCAGTACAAGATCCTTGATGTTATGCTCAAGGGGCTCTTTAAGGTTTGTGTGGGCAGGGGCAGCTCATGTCAGGTCAAGACTTTGATCTGGACACTGATAGATGAGTAGCAGTTCCCTAAGGGGATGGTGTTCAGTGAGGCAGAAGCTGCATGCACATAGGAGACAAAGTGGGGTTCAAATAAGTGGGGCTGGACCCAGGTTGTGAAGGGCTCTGCAAAGTCACAGCCCAGGGGGCTGGGGTGGTGGCTCATCGGTAGAGTGCTCGCCTAGCTGCATGAGGCACTGGGTTCGATCCTCGGCACCACATAAAAACAAACTAATATATCCACCTATAACTAAAGATACATAAATAAATAAATATTAAAAAAAAAAGTCTCTCAGCCCAGGTGGGGTTCCCTCAGGTGCTGGAGGACTCCCGGACAGTGCTCATTGCTGCCAACGTGCTCCCAGATGGGCCCTTCCCCCAGGATGAGAAGCTGAAGGATGGTATGGTCTCCCTGGTCCTCTACTTCCCTCTCCACTTCTTTGGTCTTCTGTAGATGCTCTCTGTTCTGGTCATTCTTTTTTTCTCCCTGGAGTACCTTCTCAGTGGCCCCCTTGTGTGGTTGAGGCCTAATCTGAGCAGTTCTAGGCTGACAAAGATGTATTTTTTCATGCTGTCCTATGCTTGGTGCAGGGGAACCAGGGAGGACTCTCTGCCCACCGCCACTCCAGGGGTTAGGACAGGATCAGTTGCTTACCTTCCTGACTCTTCTGGGAAGGAAGGTGAGATTTGTACCAATATAAAGGAGAAAAAAGCCAGGCACATGACACATACCTGTAATACCAGCGACTCTGGAGACTGAGGCAGGAGGATCACAAGTTCAAAGCCAGTCTCAATAATTTAGTGAGGCCCTGAGCAACTTAGTAAGACCCTGTCTCAAACTAAAAAATGAAAAGGGCGGAATGTAGCTCAAAAGTAAAATGCTTCTGGTTGATTACATTTTAACAATAACATTTCTTAGATTATACTGTCTGAGAGAGGATTGAAGCAGCCCTTGATATTGAGTGGTGGACACTATACAGACATCACCCTAATCTCGACTATGAGGCAAGCACAATTTCCTCCATTTTCTAGATGGGAAAGGATAAGTGATTTGCCTTTTTCCCCCTATACCAAGCTGGATCCTGAGATCCCTGAGGTTCAAGATGATTCTGAAGCCCAGTGATCTCTGCCCATATGTCTCAGACCCAACCTGGCATATCTTTGGAGTCTGTTTACCTCCCCTGGGTGCCTGGCCTGTGCTGGGGAGGGCTGACTGGCTCTGAATGTGTCCTCTCTGCCTCTACTCACCTGGGTTTGGGGACTTGCCACTATGGTGGACTCACTAACCTTAGTCTAAACTGGCCTGTTGTTCAGAGGAACGTCATTAATGTGAAAATAAGTAGGGTGGTTAATTTTGTGTTGCTGTTAATTTCCTGGTTTGGCTATTTGTGTAATGGATAAAGAATTTTATATTATGTAAGACTAGAACAATTTCAAAATAAGAAACATTTAAAATAAAATAGAAAGAACATTTAAGAAATCCTGAAATCCTACAACCCTGACCTTTTCCCTGGCCATCCTAATAGAACTGACCCACCAAAAACACTGTAGTTGTGTAAATATCAGGGCCCTGCTCTAGTCATGTGATATGTTGGGGGACTCTTCCCAGGAAAGCCTCATGTGATGCATTAGCCTTTGTATATACAGCAGTACCCACTTTTGAGTTCCCCGCAGTAAATGAGACTTCTAAACATCAAGATGTGCCTTTGGACAGACAGACCTGGCTTTGCAGACCAGATTTGCCACTCATTATTTGTTGAAACTGAGTTCCCCAACTGTAAAATGGGAACAGCAGCCACATATCCCTCTAATGGTGGTTACAGGAATTCAGTGACCTGGGGGACAAAAGGACCCTACCACACACATTACACATGTGATGGACGGCCTATCGCCAGTGGGTGTCATTACCTCCTGTGATTGGTGGGTTTCATGGATGCCAAGCCCTGGGGGTCAGCCAGGAGGGAATAAGAGGCCCTACCCTGTTCACTCATTAAGGTCCTCTTGCCAGCCTTCTCCCATGTGGTAGAGAACACGGCCTTCTTCGGGGATGTGGTACTACGCTTCCCGAGGATCGTGCACCACTACTTTGACCACAACTCCAACTGGAACCTCCTCATCCGCTGGGGCATCAGCTTCTGCAACCAGACAGGTGTCTTTGACCAGGGGACCCACTCACCCATCCTTAGCTTGGTAAGGATTAGGGTGGAGGAGGTCTGGGAGTCTTCTGTCTGGTGGTAGGCCAGGAGCCTTGTATTAGCCTGCAGTTGAACCTGAGTGTCAGTGCTTGGCTGTATTTTCTGTGATGAGCCTCGGTACCTTGGGCCATGGAAGCCCCATTTCTGTACCGACTTGGGTTCCTAGGAGTTGTCACTTGGCCCACATTTGCCCAGACCTGGGCCCTGGATCCCTGCATGGCAGGAGTTGCTCTTTGGTGAGGAAGAGGCAGAAGTCAGAGGATGACTGCCTTTTTCTCATCTGCAGATGGCCCAGGAGTTGGGGATCAGCGAGAAAGACTCCGACTTCCAGAACCCATTTAAAATAGACCATCCAGAGGTGAGCTGCGAGGGCCTATGGCCATGTCTTCTTTGCCTTTGTCCATTGTGGGAGGCTGGGCCCTCAGGGGGCTGGGTCCTGGGGTGGAGCATGAAGGCTTTGGACTTGGAGCCAAACATTCCTGGGTCTAGGTCCAGAAACTGTATTCACTGGAGCCTTTGGGCAAGTCACCGCTCCTCTCAGCCTTACCTTCCCTGTCTATTCACAAAGTATGCACAATTGCTCTGGGATGCAGTCCTAAAGCTGGGAACACATCCATCTCAATGCACAGGAGGCTCCCATGGTAGGTCAGTGTCAGGGCAGCCAGGTGAGGTCAGGCTGTGTTCTTCTCAGCCCTTGAGCCTCCATCTCGGCTTCTATCCTGCACTCCTACAAACGATTTTTCCCCCAGGGGGTGAGGTGAGCTCTGAGTTCTGGAAGCTACAGTTTGGGATAACAACATTTATACCATATATACCATTGTTGGGATATCAATATATTCCATATATATCATATATACCATAGTTGGAGGAGGAGATCAGAGAAGGGCAGGGCAGGGCCTGGAGGGCCATGAAGGAAGGGCTTCATAGGTGGCTAGAAGACTGGACTCATCAAATTCCAGGTTGGCCCATGGTGTAGGGAAGAGTGTGGTCTGTGAGGGGTCTAGGATTTTACCCTGTTCACAGGCTAACAAGCTTGCCAGCTACTGTTGCATGGACACTAACAGATCAGAGACCTAGACTTTATTTTATTTTTTTTTAAGACTTTTTTTTTTTTTTAAGAGAGAGTGAGAGAGGAGAGAGAGAGAGAGAGAAAGAGAATTTTTAATATTTATTTTTTAGTTCTCGGCGGACACAACATCTTTGTTGGTATGTGGTGCTGAGGATCGAACCCAGGCCGCACGCATGCCTGGCGAGCGCGCTACCGCTTGAGCCACATCCCCAGCCCCCTAGACTTTATTATAGCAAAAGCAGCAGTAGCCAGACTTGGCCTGGACATCTTGGTTCCCCCTTGTGCCCCAAGTCCCATGGGGTGGACATGAGGGGCCAGGTAAATGCTGTGCATACAGTAGGTTTGTATTATAGCTGAAGACCACTGAGCTTAGGAAATTGACCTCTTGTATAGTGAACGAAAGCAAATTTGCTCTTTGTTTTGGGGGAGATATTACCTTATCCTTCAGGATTGCTCTGTTGAAACGCAGTTGGGAAAAGTGGCTCGGTAGCGGCCAGAATTTTGCATTCTTGGTGTACCAGCAAGAACATGCAGGGGTGCTCAGGGACATGGTGAATTGCCTCACCCAGTAGTCTCCCCAAGCCCTATATATCTTGGTTTAACTCAAATATTTACATAAATGTACTATTCAGTCTTATTAATCTGACCAAGAGGCCATGATCAAATCTATTCAATTTGTCTCATGCTTCATTTATTAAGATGTCTGTCAGAGTTGGGTGCAGTGGTGCATGCCTGTAATCCCAGCGGCTCTGGAGGCTGAGATAGGAGGATTGTGAGTTCAAAGCCAGCATCAGCAATGGCGAGGCACTAAGCAACTCAATGAGACCCTATCTCTCAAATATGAAATTGGGCTGGGGATATGGCTTAGTGGTTGAGTGCCTTTGAGTTCAATCCCTGGCAACCCCTCCCCCCAAAAGATATCTATCAGATGTAATTTTTGTTTGATTGGTTGATTGTAAGTTTTTTATTTTTGTTTTGTTTTTTTTTATTCTGGGGATTGAACCCAGGATGCTTTACTACTAAGCTACATCTTCTGTCCTTTTTTAGTATTTATTTATTTATTAGTACTAGGGATTGAACCCAGGGGGTACTTTTATCACTGAACTACATCCATAGCTCTTTTTATATTATATTTTTAAGGGCTGGGGATGTGGCTCAAGCGGTGGTACACTCGCCTGGCATGTGTGCGGCCCGGGTTTGAACCTCAGCACCACATACAAACAGGGATGTTGTGTCCGCCGAAAACTAAAAAATAAATATTAAAAAAAAAATTCTCTCTCTCTCTCTTTAAAAAAAAAATTATATATCTAAAGTTTTATTTTGAGATGGAGTTTTGATAAATTGCTGAGGTTGGCCTCGAACTTGAAATCCTCCTGCTTCAGCCTTCTGAGTCTCTGGGATTATAGGCATTTGCCACTATCCTGGCTTCAGGTGTGTTTTAAATAGGAAGTGAAGCCAACCAGCTCTGTTGACCTCAACCATGTTCTCCAGGATCCCTGACTCAACCAACTGTGATTAAATCCTGAGGGGACTAGTAGGTCTCATTTTGAACAGTCAGGATATAATCTAAGACCAATCTTTTTTTTATTTTTTAAATACTGGGGATTGAACTCAGTGCATTAGACACATCTCCAGCCCTTTATATATTTTATTTAGAGAAAGTATCACTGAATTGCTTAGGGCCTTACTAAATTGCTGAGGCTGGCTTTGAACTCATGATCTTTCTGCTTCAGCCTCCCGAGCTATGTGATTACAGGTATACGCTATCGCCCCCAGCTAAGACCAATCTATTACCCATTACTATTCACTTAAGAGAGTTTAGGGGCTGTGGCTCAGTGGTAGACCGCTTGCCCAGAGTGTGTGAGGCACTGGGTTTTATTCTCAGCACTGCATATAAATAAACGAATAAAATAAAAGTCCATCAACGTCTAAAAAAAATATTAAAAAAAAAAGAGTTTAGACTTACCTGCCTATTTTCATGGGTGTTATTGTTGTTGTTTTCTGTACTAGGGATTGAATTCAGGGTGCTTTACCACTGAACTTCATCCCCAATCCCTATATTAATTTTTTGTTTTTGTTTTGAGACAGGGTCTCACTAAATTGCCCAGGCTGGCCTTGAATGTAACTGGGATTATAGGCATGTGCCACCACACCTGGCCATGAATGTTATTAGTAATTACAGAAGGCAATTGATGGGACTAAAGCAGCTCTTGTCCCCTACAAAGAGACATTCTGTGGCCCATTCTCTCACCTTGCACTCTGAGTCTACCCAATTCACCTGAGCCTGAGGGCAGTGTTACTGCAGTTTTAGCCTCAGTTGCCCTATATAGTATAATCCAAGGCTGCTCAGATATTAGGAGAAGCAGATACTGTTGTATCTGTACTGTTGAAACAAGATTGTATTGTCCTGTGTGTCTGCACAGGGTCATTTTCAGAGGCTACCTTCAATGGTGTCAAGCACAGTAGAATAGTTCAGAACTGACTTTGTCCATGTGAGTTTCTCATCATGTGGATGGAAAAGACACACCCAGCAGATGGTTAGACTGTAAGTGGCAGCTGCCACTGAGCTCAGGCAGAACCTAGGATTGTTTTGCCAGATGGTAGTGCTGGATCTAAGGGACAAAGACAGCATAAATTGTTCCTTGCACTCAACAGAGTCCAAGGCATTCCCTCCCTAGTTGCTTGTATTATTGCTATGAAATTCATGTGTCCCATCCAGTACTTATAATTTTACTTTTCTCTGATCATCCCTTCCTCTCACCTAGACCTTTTCTTTCAGAAGGATCAGGTATGAGTGGGACAAGGTGCTAGGAGCCACAGCAAAAGTATTGATACATGGTACCTTTGGTTTAGGTGACTGCCAGCTAGCCATTGAGATGATTATGTTAAGCTTTACATTCATATGGTAATTGGACTCCTGCTGTTCACCTCGGCCTGTTACGGGACTCAGGTTACTCACATCACTCATGTAATGGGAGAGTTCCCATTGGTTGGGGAAGGATAGTAGGCGGGAACTTGGGGGGGGAGGTCCGGGAGCCCGGTTCCGGTGACACACGTGGGTCCACCGGCTTGCTAGCAGGACGCACACAGGACGCTGGCGGCTTTTTAAAATAAAGCTTTGTTCCCCGCTTGAACGGTTCGTGTTTTTGTGCCCAGCCGGGTTGCGGTGGCTGGTGCTTCTGTGCACAGCAGGGTTGCGGCAACAAGGGAATTTTAACAAATTTATAGAGACCTTTTATGTCTTCCATCTGTGCTCACACTGGCCACTACAGGAGAGTAAGCACGTAATCCAAGTGGTTATAATCCCAGTGGCCTCGGGCCAGACCATTCCAACCCAAGACTTAGATAGGTGGTCAAATCTAAACTACAGCACCTTCTGCTTGTGCTTGTTTATGGTAGTGGGTATGCTGCTATGTCAAGGACAGTGATGCATTTAGGGACAATGGCAGTGTAAATTTGATTAGCAGTTTGATTCTAGTTAGCTTTATCAGAGAATGGGCTTTATCATGGTCATCCAGAAAAGTGACCCAAATGGGCTAGTTAGCAATCACCAAGTGTTTCCACAGTTTGTGGTCCCATAGAGGAGTGGGGGTCTTTGATCTGCCAGTCTCTATGGAGTCTTCTGAGTAGCAGACCAGACACTGAGGAAAGTCACTAAGAACATACCATGCCCAGTTGCTCGGAGTGTTGTCTCAGGCAAGGGTGACAACTTTTAATTCAGATCATTGGAGGGTACACAGCATTCAGCAAATAGTCATACTCATGGCTGTGATTTACTCCAGAGAAAGAACAATCAGCAAAGGGAAAAGGCACATGGGGCAGAGTTCAAGGAACCCAGCTTACACAGTCCTCTACCAGTAGTCACATGTGATGTGCTCAATTTCCCCAGCACAAGTTTTGACAACACATGTAAAATGCTGTCTACCAGCGAAGCTCGTAGAGGCACAGTGCCCAGGTTTTATGGGGAACCATTTACATGGTTATCCTTTGCCTAACTTGTGCTTCCAGCCCTGAAGGAAAGCAAGTGATCAGCATAAACCATACTTTTTGCACAAACAGTTTAGGCACAATGAACTACTCTTTTTGTTTTTGGTATCAGGGATTGAACCCAGGGATGCTTAACCACTGAGTCACATCCCCAGCACTTTTTTTATATTTTATTTTGAGACAGGGTCTCACTAAGTTACTTAGGGGCCTGCTAAGTTGCTGAGGTTGGCTTTGAACTTGCAATCTTCCTCCCTCAGCCTCCTGAGTTGCTGGGATTACAGGTATATACCACCACACCTGGC